AGCCCAGCCAGCCCCATGACTGCCCCAAAGACACACCAGCCCTTGCAGAAAGTAGCCTTATGCTCATCAAAAGGAATTTTCAAGAAGTGCTCTCCCCAGAACCATTTCTGTTCATTAGCAGGTTGAATTCTATCTGTGGCTCAAGTGAACACTTCCGATTTCAAAGTATCAGAATTGCAATTAAATTATTCACCTCTGCTTTTTTCCCTAAGAAATCCATGAATGGGTATGTGCAGTGTCTATGTGTATATAGATAAAAATACTGGTGCCTAGTAAAAGACCTGCTGGTGTGTTATGGTGGCCTCTTCCCTTCATTATGGATGAGCTGTAGAGAGAAGGAACATAGCCAATAGAGGGCGATATATTACTTAGTCAAACATTCACAGTGTACAAGGGAAAGAAAATATCCTGAGGTGAAAGGGAACCAACTTCAGGAGGATGCCAGAGTCTGTGTAGAGAAGGGACAGCAGATTGGTGGAGCAGCCTGGAAGTTTGCTGCCCAGCCTTCCCTCTGTAGCCAAGAGCCTATGGCAGTGGTCCCTAACCTTTTGGAGCTGCTGGGCTCTCAGGGGCGGGGCCGCGCATGCGCCACACGGCCAGAGACAGGGGCCACCCATGGCCGTGTGCCCGGGGACAGGGGCAATCCTGATCACTTGGCAGGAGCACATAAATGCCCCGGCGGGCACCGCGTTGGGGACCACTGGCCTAGCCCCTTCTGCCTGGGTGCCCTTCCATCCTGCTCAGGGCTGGCTCGAGCCATTCCTGCACCCTGGGCAGCGGGCACGTGACACATGCATGGCTCCGCCCCTAGGCACATGGCCCCGCCCCCCAGCATGCTGCGCCCCTAAGAGCTGCCATCAGGCACCATGTGCCCGGGGCCGGGAGCCACACGGCGCCCCTAAGAGCTGCCATCAGGCACTGCGCATTCAGGGCCAGGGGCCACATGGCACCCCTTAGAGCTGCCATCAGGTGCCCCCCATAGGTTGGCACCCCAGGCAGCTGCCCAGCTAGCCCCCACCCTTAATCCAGCCCTGGTCCTGCTGGGTCCTGGCTGAGCGTGGGCACACCCCCCCAACACTGGAGCAATCAGTAACGCCAGCCCAGAATTGGCCCCAACACTCCTGATGTGGCCTCCCCACTGCCGAATACAGGGGAATAATCACTCCCCTAGCTCTGCTGGCACCGCTCCTCCAAATGCAGCCCACCACACCGGTAGCCTGCTTGGCTACAGGGCACACAGAAAACAGACATCCCCCAGCTGCATGGGCCTGGCCACACACTCGTTCAGGCCTCTCTGAGGGTCGAGCGGCTCTTGCATATAGACCAGCATTGAGCGACCAGCAACCCACGGGCCACATGCAGCTAGCGATGTTAAATTCTTGGGAATAAACTTTTGGAGAATATTCTCGAGAACGCTCTTGAGAATATTCTCCAATGTGAGAATTTTCTCTTAAATACCTGTTAAATATTTTTTAAAGAATTTTACTATTTACGATAATGTTTTTCTTTAATAAAACTTCAAGAATCATGAAAGTTTACAATTGTTAAAATGAAAATTTGGGAAAGTAAAGAAAAAAGACAGGTTTAAATTACTAGAACTTTTATTACAAATCTTCTGTTGCAGGGTACAAATATTTTTAACTTTCTGGATTGAATACAAGTCTAATCAGAATCTGCACTTTCCGAATCTGACCCATATCTTTCTCTCTCTTCTTCTTCCTCATACATATCCTCTTCTTCTTTCTCTTCAGCATCACCAATTTCTTTTTCCTCATTTCTCTGGTTCTGTTTCCTTTTTTCTCTTGGAGATTTCAATGGAGCATCATTTGGGTTTTTAAGAAGCTTTATATTATAGGCTATGAATGTCAGCTTGCCTGCCCTTTCTTGTGTTAACTTGTTTCTTTTTGCATTATGAATGATACTACAAGTACTGAAACTTCTTTCAGTTGCTGCCATTGTTGGTGGCATATTCAATATGGTGATCGCTGCTTTCCCTAATTTTGATCCATGGCTAATACCTTTCCACCATGTTACTGCCTCTACTGAGCCAGCCTATTTTTGTTACATATGATTTAATAAAAAACAACCCTTCTTTAGCACGATACTCTGCAAGCTTTGCAATGACTTTTGCTGAGTGATCAGTGCCATATATTCTTGTGACTAATTTATCGGTGAATTCAGTTCCTTGTATTTGTTCATTTCTAGAAAGGCACTCATCATTGAATTTTGGATCTAGAATATTTGCAGCATAGTGAATGTCTTTTAGAGCCATATCTTCTCTTTTTTCAAAACTTTTCATCACATCCTGTTTTTCTTGTTTGGTAAGTGGACTTTTGGGAAGTAGCCTATTAAAATGATCACTTAATTCCCTGAAACATTCAGGAACTTTGCTAATTTTTGGCTGGTCAGATTCAAGCAGCGTAATCCATTTAACAACAGGACTTATCAGTACATGCAGTTTTTGGACCCGTACCCAATATACATCTTCATCCAGGATTGAATTCCTGGTACGTTTGCTCAGTTTAGTCTGTAAATCTTCATGGACAGCAAGGAATTTTAAGACTTCTTTGATTTCAATAAGCTTTTCAAACAATATAAAATGCAACCCCACCTAGTTTTAACTGGCAATTTAAGTGCACAAGTTTGATTTTTCTCTTTTTGAAATACAGTAAAATGAGCTCGTAAAACTTGTGATTTGTTAATTTCCTTCACAACAGTTTTACAGGTAGCTTCAGTTTCTTGAACAGATTTTAAGTTACTGATGTCACCAATTAACAAGTTTAGTGTATGAGCAGCACAAGCGTACATAGCAACGTGATTGTATTTTTCGTTAAGCATTGATAAGGATTTCACCATTGCTGCAGCATTATCAGTGACAATGGCACCAAATTTTTCAGTGCCTATTTGTCATTATATCTTTCATATGGAATGCCATATACTCAGCAGTATGACGTTCAACATCGGTTGCCACTGTCTTGTAAAACACTGGTTGGGGTGTTGATATAATAAAATGTATAACAGATTCATTTCTTCAATTGCTCCAAGCATCACACTGCAGTGCAAAAGAAGAGGCTTCAGCAATTTTTGTTTTTATAAGAGCATCAACATGTTGATATTCAGCTTCCAAAAGTTTGTTATAAAGTGTGTACCTGGATGGCATCTTGTAAGATAGTCTTAATTTTTGCATGAAAGTAATCCAAGCTTCCTTTTCAACCAGTGAAAGAGGTGATCCCGATGAGAATATAGCTTGTGCAAAAAAATCATCCAAAACTTTGTTTTCAGTTTCATTCATAGAATCAAAGTAGCAACTTATAGAGTGACACACCTTGGCTGAACTAGATGTGGAAGGTGGTGATGTAAATTCACTAGCACTATCACAGTGTTCTAGAGATGTTGATGCAGTTGATGGTTGAGGTGATCTGCTTCTGGACCCTGAGAATTTTGTTGCCTTTTCCTTGATGTAAGCAGGAGTCTTCAAACAATTGGAAATACGCTCTCTCATCCTTGTCGCATTTCTGATGTATCAGCCTTGCAGTACTTACATTCAGATAACACTTTGTCTTTAACTGTTTTATGAAGGAAATAATCCCACACATCGCTTTTAGGCTTAGTTCCTTTCATACTGATGAAAACACAATGACACCTTTCACAAAAGAGAATACATGTGTTACTGCCTCTTTCTATACTTTCTGTGATGCTTCCAGAAAGTTCCATAACTGTCGGAATTCCTGACTCATGAATGTTCTAAAAAGTTCCATAACATTCTGGAATGTTCTAGACCGTTCTCAAACTATCTTGAATGGTCAAGAAAGCTCTTTAACATTCAGGGTGTTCTAAAAGTTGAATACAATATATTATTTCAAGAGGAAATGAAAAATCAGAAAATTCTCAAAAATTCTCAGGAAATAATCTTTTCCTGAGAATATTCTCACCTCACATCACTACATGCAGCCCATTGGGGTTCAGGGTGTGGCCCCAGGACATGGTGCTTAAGGGCTGCCGCATTCCGCTGGCTTCTACCGGGGTATTTCTTTCCTACGGGTGTTACGAAGGCGACAGGCCCATCGAGCGAGGGCCGTGAAGTGAGGTACGTGCCAGACGCACACAGCACTGCCCGTCAGAGCCATGGCCTCCTGCAGCCAGGCCCAGCGCTGCTCCGGGTCAGTCAGTGCCCCCCGCGCAGTGGAGATACACAAGTCGTTAGCACAACGGCCCTCCCGTGGGAGACTGAAGACAATCGTGTCCCACTGGAAGGAAGGAGGATCTTGTGCCACCCACTTGCTAGCCTAGGTTGCCCATTGCTGCTAGAGTCGGGGCCATGGGGAGAGCCCTCACCCAGCCCAGTACTGAGACACCCGAGGCTGGGCCCGGTGCTCAGGAAGTTGGCTGCCAGGAGACCCCAGTGGGGCGCAGCATTGCCTGGCCCACTGCTGCTCTCCAAACAGCTGCACAGAGGCCTCTTGTTCATTCAGCTCAATCCTTTTGGCAAGATGCTTGATTTCCTGCCCACTGGAGCAGTCTGGTAGCTGGGCCCTTCCTGGCAAAACTCACCCCCACCCTGCAGCTGCTGAAATAACTCCGCCCATCCTGCCAGCTGCCCCCGCCATTCCCGCATGCCCTCGCTGGGCCTAGCTCTGCCCCACGCCGCACCAGCACCTCCTGCTGGGCCAGCCTGGGGCTCTGCTGAGCCATACACAGGCCAGTGTTTGAATGACACGCCAGGGAATCAGAGAATCACCAGGAGCCCTCGCGTCCAGCCCCCGGCCCAAAGCAGGACCAGCCCTCCCAATCAGCCCAGCCATGGTGGCAAAACTCCTGTAGGGATGGAGCTTCCACCCCCTCCCTCAGGAACCCAGCCCAGCGCTTCCTCCCCACACCCCAGCGTTTGCCTCCCGCGCCCCAGTGTTTGAATGACACGCCAGGGAATCAGAGAATCACCAGGAGCCCTCGCGTCCAGCCCCCGGCCCAAAGCAGGACCAGCCCTCCCAATCAGCCCAGCCATGGTGGCAAAACTCCTGTAGGGATGGAGCTTCCACCCCCTCCCTCAGGAACCCAGCCCAGCGCTTCCTCCCCACACCCCAGCGTTTGCCTCCCGCGCCCCCAGAGTGACCCCACGAATCCAGTGCAGAGCCCAGGGCTGCCCCACAGACCGGCCCAGCCGAAGGAGGCACCG